TTATTTACCTAAGATTAAGTCTCAAATTTGTAATTTTAGTGCAATTTTTAAAAGCATAATCTAAACCTGATAAACCAATAGCACCAATTTAAATTTAACTTTTTAATAATTGAAGAAAAAAATAATTAGAAGGGAAAAACGAAGATAAAATATGAGATAATAACAAAAGAATTGATTAATATTATAAGAAAAATTTATAAATTAACTAAAAAAATTTTATTTGTTTTAAATTCATTTTTATATTTAAAATATCATACAAAACAAATAAACTATTTTTACTGAAGATGCATTGTCAAATTTGTGAGATTAGTACAATTTGCTAAAGCCTAACATAAACCTGATATATCTTCATCACCAATTTAATTACCACTTTTTGAAATATCGAACAAAAAATTATGAAGAAATTTTATGATTTTAAACTTTTTATTTTATTATTAATTAATAAATTCATTTATATTTATTTCATGTTTAAATGAATAAAATTGAAAAAGACAGACAGAAAAAAAACAAACAATCAGGATAAAAAAAGAGAAAAAAAAAGAAAAAAAATATTTTTAATAAATTAAATGAGTTAGTTGTGTTGTTTTAAATTCATTTTTATAAAAAAAATATAACTATCCTAAGCAAATAAACTGTTTATACCCAAGATTAAGTGTCAAGTATGTGAGATGAATGCAAGTTGATAAAGCAGAACTTAAGCCTGAAACACCAACAGAACCAATTTCATTTTTACTTATTAAATAAGAAAGATAAAGAAAAAATGCCAAGTAATATGAAATTAATAAGTTAATCAGAAAATTAAAAAATAAGTTAAATTAGCAAAGACAGACAGAGAGAGAGAGAGAAAAAAAAAGAAAAATAAATCAAATAAAAAGTTAATAAATAAATATACTAAAAGATTTATATTTAAAGTATCAAAATAAAAAACAAATAAACTGTTTCTACTTAAGAATAAGTATCAAATTTGTGAGATTAGTGCAATTTGCTAAACCAGAACTTAAAGCTGATGCTCCTTCATCACCAATTTCATTGTCACTTTTTACATTTTTATATATTTAAGAAAAAATGTATAATTAATTAGTTAGTTAGTAAATCGAAAAAATAAACAAAAATATAAAATAATAAGAAATTAATGAATAAATTAACAAAAAAAATGAGTAAAATTAATAGAGATAAAAATGATAAAAAAGACAGACAAATATAATAAAAAGTGAGAAAAATAAGTCATAAATTAAAAGAGTTTTTAGCTAGTTATATTGTTTTAAATTCATATTTATATTAGAAAATATCCAATTAAAAACAAATAAACTGATTTTACGTAAGCCAAATAGTCAAATTTGAGAGATTAGTGCAATTTGCTAAAGCAGAACCTAAGATTGATGCACCTTCATCACCAATATCCTTACCACTTTTTAAATATAGAAGAAAAAATATTTAATTATTCAATTAGTTATAAGGGAAAAATGAAGAAAAAATATAAATTTGTAAGAAGTAAATAAATTAATAATAAAAGAAAAAATATAAAATAAAAAATGGGTTAAATTAATAAAGATAGAAGAATAAAAAAATAAATATGAAAAAAAGCTAATAATTAAATTAAAAGAGATAGTTTTATTTTAATAAAATTAAAAACAAATATGCTGTTTTTACCCTAGTAAAAAAAAGAGTTAAAATAAAAAAGTGAAGAAAAAATATAAAATAATAAAAAATGAACTGAAAAAATAAATATTGAAAATGAAAATTCAGTTAAAATAATTAAAAAAAATATGTAAATAAAAATGAAGATTGTTTTTTTATGATAAATTCTATTAGTAAAATTTTATTATAATAACTTGAAAGTAAAATATATAAAAACATTAATGGTAATAATAATTGAATAAATTAAATATACTTAAGAGTAACCTTGAGAATCTAAAGAGATTAGAGTGAAGATGAGTTTGAAAACTTTTTTATTAATAAAAATAAATTTAAAAAAGATTCATATAAAAATGAATAATTACTTCTTCTAATTCGTCGTACTATTTAATCTATTTTATCATTAATTTATTTTTTTTCTACTTCAAAAAATTGGAAAAAAAATTTGGAAATTTAATTAATTACTGTAAAGCCACTTTAAGGAAAACGAATGTGTTGCGAGGTAGAGGTAAGAGTCTTAACTAAAAAAACTAATTCATAATAAGTGACATCAAAACAGCAAAATTTTTGAATGGCATCTTGCTATATTCATTAATAAATAAATAAATTTTTAATATTTTTGATAGTTGATTTAGACAACTAAAAATATAATTAATTGTATTTATTTTGATCAAAATTTAATTAATTAATTTGACTTGTTTGTTTATCAAAAATAAATATATTTATGAGAAAAAATTATTATTATTTTAAAAGAATAAATAAGAAATTGTTAAAATAATTAAAAATGAGAAATTAAGTTTTTGTTTTTAATTAATTTTGATGATAAGTAAGAAAATTGTATAAATTTGATAAAAATAAGAAGGTATCTATCTATCTTATTAGTATTTATTTAATATTTTTAGAAATGGTTGCAATTAATTAAATACATAATAACAATACATTCACAGATATAGATTAATTTACATATAATTTAATTCTGTATGATATTTTTTTGTTAACTATGTATGTAAAATGAAATTCATAAATTTTTTTTCTTGTTTTTTAATAGTTATGATCCAGTAGAAATTGTGAAATTGTTTCTATTGATCTTGCAAAGGTTCATGTATTTAATAAATAAATAAATTAATTTCATATGAATATATTTTTTTATATTAATTCTTATTAACATAAATATGAATATTTTTTTAAAATTTAAATTGTTGCTTTCTATTTGAATATTAAAATTGAAAGTAAAAAAATTATTGAAATTGATCAAAATTTACATTGAATTTTATTTTGTTTTAATTGAATCAATTTGATTGAAATAAAATATTTTAGTTTTCTTCCCTATTTTTTAGTGATTTTTTAATATTATTTATTATTTTAATGGTTAAAAAAATTACTGTCTTATCATTAATTCAACTTATTTTTTCAAAATTATTTTTATAATAGGAAGTAATAGGTATAAATAAATAAATACATACATACATTTTTACATACATACAAACAAACTATTAAATCATATATCTAATATCTATTAAAATATTCAGTTTTAATTGGAACTATCAATTTACTTAAAGAAGCTTGTTTTAATAATGTAACTCAATTAAAAGGCAGTATTATTAAAAATAATTACACACAAAAAACATAAAGAAGTTGTTAATCTATAAAAAGAAAGCTAGAATGCTGTTTTTTAATCAATAGATTAGTTAGAATTTCTCGAATAGTTCTATTTGAAATTAAATGAATTCAAATTTAATATCAATTGATTTTCTGAGCATATCTGATTTTGATTTAAAAAAATGAATTATAAAAAACTTCCTAAATATAAATAGGATCAATTTTAGTATTAAATCAAAAATTAAAAAAATATTTTTATAAAATATTTTTTTTCTAGATTTTTTGTAGCTTTTTAAATATTTAAGTTTTCCTTTTTTATTAAAAATACAATCTTTAACTAAGTTTTTACTCCATTAGTTTTTTACTCCAAATAAATTAAAGAATAATGTAAATTCTGATCGATCGATCTAAAAATTATTCACAAAATGGGAAATTGTGAGTAATTTTTTTATTTTTGATTAAAATAAAAGACACAGCTAGCAAATAAGTACTTTTGTATAAACAATTATTAAAAAAATATACTAAAAAAAACTAATTTCAAAAAAAAACAAATTATTCCTAAATAAATTAATTGTAAAGAAAATGGGTTGCGTTAACGGTGTATAAAATGATCAAAATATGAAAAATCAAATTAAAAAAATGATAAAAATAATGAGATAATATGAAGAAAGAATAAATAAAATAAACTAAAAATTCATTTTAGATTTACAAAAAATGGTTAACCCTAGTAACTACCAAATCGATGAGCAAGTTATTCTTGTTGTAGAAAATAAAAGTGAGTGTGAAACTATAAGCTCTTAAATTGAGTGTAGCGTTAAAAAACAGTAAACTTTTATCTAAAATTATGAATAATAAATTGCTGAATAAAATGAAAAAGTAAAACCTTTAGTCCAAAAATCCCTCCTACATATTTAAAATGATTAAAATATCTAAAAAAATATTGAGCTTTTAATATTAAATTAATACATTAAAAAATTCTAATAAAATGGATTCTCTTATAAAATAATAACAATTTAACAAATTTAAGAAAAGGATAACCACCAAATAAATATTTTAGATAGCATCGGTACTTTCTGTGAGAGC